GTTTGTATATTGTTTGATTGCACGCCATCACATGCCTGAACATGAACCTCTGGCAGATGCAAGCAAGCACCATGAACCGCCTTCGGGACGCTTGCGGAACCTCCCGAGCTAATTTTCCTGGGACCCTGGTGCTGCTAGGGGACACCCAGTCTTTGCAACCTGATGTCAGACGAAGAGGTTGACATCGAGGTGGCCGACGAAGGGTCATGGGATCATGACGCATACTGTATTCTTCATGGCTCATCAATTGGGAAGTCAACGTGCCTGAAGGTTACTATGCGCTCCTTGTCCCAATTGTCGGCAGCCATTAAGGTATCTAACGCAGAAGCTAGTGCGGCGGAAAGTTGGGCTTGCCAGCTTTGTCTCCGAATCGGAGTACCCCTCCCCCTCCCAGCCTTTTTTCAAGGCATTTCAAGGCTAAACACACGAACCAGCAGTGAACCATGGGTTGGAGGTATTTCTTCGACCTACCTGGACCTTCATGTCGGGGTGTCCTGTCTGGAGATCCATGTACGTAGTGGGCGCTCGGTCTTCCAGCTAGGAGACCTGAAGTGAAGGTGCTGGATGGTGCTGGAAGAAGGTGTTTATGTTTTGAAAGTTATATGTTACTAAGATGTAACTCTATATGTCCCACTCATAAGCCATGTTATAAGTCAAACAGACTAACAGACACCTCGTACACCATGGCCGAACTGGAGCTCCACTTCTGTGATCGCTTTCAAGCTAAATCCCTTGTCTCGACCGGCAAGAAGTCACCGGGTCCAACAGCGAACCGAGTTTCGGAGGTGAGGCTGGAGTCCTTTGGCCAAAGAGTGTTCAGTTCACACACCGGAGCTGTGGAGCTGGGCCTGGGGACGTTTTCCGTGCTACTGGGTTTCCAGATTGGGAGATTCTCATGTAACAGTCTTCATCAGAAACATGGTGATGCCGCTTGGGCTGGTATAGATGAAGGGCGGCAGACATGTTGCACAGTTGGAAGATCGAGCGGCTCTAGATGGCTCTATAGGCATAAAGTGAGAGGCCGTAAACCTTCCACCCTCATGCTCCCGTTCCACCCTGGTGCTCGGCGTCGCAGACGCGGCTCTACCCCAAGCCATCGGCGAAGACGGGATCGCTTGAAGAGTTGGAACAAAGGCGGGGTAGATCGTGGGGAGGAGGGCTGATGGGATGGGATTCATTAAGTGTTTGAGTGGTGTAGACCGAACAACCCATTTCTTATTTTAATCATTATATGATTTTTTTACACGACCAAAAAGAAAGGTCAAGCCTTTCTCTTAATCATGATCGTGGAAGGCTATAGGTTTGGGATAGCTTTCTGGATGTTTTTCGAGCCTGTATAGTGGACATACAGATCTGACTTAGACCTTATAGAAAACTCTGATTTCTGATGGTGGTTATATATAGTTGCTTTTTCCTTATCACTGCTCATCATAGCTAGGGACAGCTTGTGATAGCGTGACCTGTAAAACAAAATGCTGTCCTGACATCTGTTGACGTCGACAATCGATGAACATCCTGGTGGTGAATGGAAATAATGGTGATGTCGGCTTGTTTGAGGCCTTTCATTCTAGAAGCCTTGGATTGGTCCGGACATGGGTCTGGGCAGATTTGCTTCCTCAGGGACCCGAGTATACGGCACGTCGGCAAAAGAACCAGCTGCCTGGAGTCTCAAAGTACCTCGTGCACAAGTACCTGCTTTTATGTCCCATCTTCCAATGTACTTGAGGTCGGGTCGCGCACACACACACTCTGACATTGGTTTTCAGTTAACTCAATTGCCACGTTGGGAAGGAAGGTGAAGAACGGTAAGGTGAAGAGTCCGCAAAACTTGTAGATGTTTGAACAAAATGGTTTGAAGTCTGCAGAAAGCACGAAAACGAAACGCTCACGAAAACGCGCGGCTCAGTTGCAAGAACGCGGTGGGAAGGTTTAGGGGGAGTATCATGAAGAACCATGAAAACAAACAAGGTCAATTGGACAGCTTGTTCAACCGTTAAAGCAGGTACACATCCATGGCCAGTGGATGCTTCCCTCTCTGATGCCTAGCTTCGTTGGACAGAGTAGCGTCAGAGAGCTCTGTCCCCCTGCTTTAAATTAAATTAGACCCTTGGAAACAGGGTTTGACACACACACGGTGCCGCTTCGCGGCGCGCATGTGAAAGACCTGAATAGTCACCTAAAAAGCCTTAGAAAAAAAGAAAAGAAAGACAGAAAGAGCAGCGCTAAGAGGGCAAGAAAGAAAGGTAGGTGTAGAAAAAGTGAATACTTAGCCCTTGACTGGGGTAGGGAAACGAGCTTCAAGAGCAACCTAAAAAGCCTGAAAGAAAGCCCAAACAAACGACGAAAAGCGCAAGAAGGAAAGCGGGGGGGGGGCAGGGAGGGGCTGTATGTCCATGTGTGTGTACATGTGTGTGTCTGAATACCTAGCACTCTAGAGTTACTGATTACTTAGCAGAGATGAATTAAGTGCAATAGCTAGGGAGCGGGACTTTAGTCTTAGACCGCCCGGGTAGGATAGACTAGACAGGGAAAGGCACCGACACACAAGTGTGTCGAGTACCATTTCCCTATGTTGCCCTAAATAGGTAGGGAGTAGAACTCGGCTGGGGGGAGGGGGTTGGGAAACCTGCCTCATTGCGGGTGGATTACCGTTTTATAGCCCGGTCGGTGGTTGAGATTGTCCGTTTTTTGGCCCGGCGGCTCAAAAATACGTAAATTCAGTTATGAAAGTGAAGAAGCAAAGGGTCAGTAAGGCGCCTCCTTTCGGAGGGTCACACCCAGCACCCAAGTGGGAAGACTGAGCGGCTCACACTCTGACATTGGTTTTCAGTTAACTCAATTGCCACGTTGGGAAGGAAGGTGAAGAACAGTAAGGTGAAGAGTCCGCAAAACTTGTAGATGTTTGAACAAAATGGTTTGAAGTCTGCAGAAAGCACGAAAACGAAACGCTCACGAAAACGCGCGGCTCAGTTGCAAGAACGCGGTGGGAAGGTTTAGGGGGAGTATCATGAAGAACCATGAAAACAAACAAGGTCAATTGGACAGCTTGTTCAACCGTTAAAGCAGGTACACATCCATGGCCAGTGGATGCTTCCCTCTCTGAAGCCTAGCTTCGTTGGACAGAGTAGCATCAGAGAGCTCTGTCCCCCTGCTTTAAATTAAATTAGACCCTTGGAAACAGGGTTTGACACACACACACACACCAACCAAAAACACCTTCCCCACATGGCTCAGAAACCGCCGAAAACACGTTCTTTCGCGGTGGAAGATGCGTTGACTTCAGCGATGGTGATCGCCCACAGGCTCCAGAAGGCTCGCGAGGAGCGGTTGGCTTTGGAGAAGCAACTCTGCCCCTGGGACGAGAGACAGTGGAGACAGCTCGGACGTGGACCTGGGCACCGATTCACTTGTTCATGTGAGCAATGGAGCAAATCTATCCGCTCCATGGACATGTTGACCGATCAGTTGGAGTGGTTGAAACGGGGTCAATGTAGGTTTGGAGGCCAAAAGGGGGAGGGGGAAACTGACCCACATAGATTTGGTCAAATCCATTCAAATCCTGTGGATTGGGATGCACTAGTTTCCAGGATGGGATGCCTTTCCACCTTTGCGTGGTCAGATTTCCTGCGTTGCTTTTCGCTTCGCTCGACTGGAGGCGATCCCAAGCCAAGGCCAGGGGGTCGACCGGGCCCGACTCGGTCCCAAGGTCGGTTGGTAGCGAAAACCCTTGGGGCGCCCCAGGTCGTAGACCTGTTTTTTCTTACTCTTTTCCGGGCCAGGGCCATGGTGGAACAATCATGGTGGAAGCCACGACCTTTTCTGAACCAGAAGCAAGCCCTACGTCCTTCATCGTCCTTCAACATTTAAGAATCGTATACCTCCGAATGAATCTTGACAGTTTTTAAAGGAGACGTGTGTCACTGGTCTCCACGGTCCCGTCGAAAACGGCAAAAAAACAGCAAACAAACACTGACACGTGCCAAATATCACCAAATCAAATCAGTCACCAAATCATGCATATAATTGAACCATCTTGAACCAACTTTCCCACGTTTTGGATGGTTTGGTTTCGTATTTTTAGACTTGGTGACTCGAGGCACCACTTGGTGACTCGGGCAGCCGCTCCGGTCAACTCCGGTCGGTCAGTCTGAATGGATGGACAGCCCGGAAGACGACCTGAAGATGTAGGTGTCCTATGTATCCACATGGATCCACATAGCCTTTGAGAAGGTCTGTTATGTAGGTTTGGAGGGTCCAATTCATTACCTCTCAGAAGGTATTTGGATCCAGGTCGAAAGAGGGTCAGCAGATTACTAACCTTTGACGACCACTTTCGGGTGAACATCCTCCACAGGGTGGCCAAACACATGGGGAGACTTGGCTTACCAATTCTTTTGGTACTCAAACATGTGCCAAAGCTGTCATAATGGGTCTTTGGACCACTGACTGGTGAGATCTTTGTTGCTCTTCAGAGTCAATGCTCGCGTTCGGCCGAAGAAACCGCGCGCTCCCTTTTTCTTGGCTGGTTTGGACATTCACCAGGCTGTGGGAGGCATGAAATCAGAGCTGCTCATGACTCATGCCAAATCCAACTAGTCCAAATCTATTGAAAAGGCAGGACATGTTTGGTTGTGCCGCATGGGACGATTTAAGAACAACATTTGCTGAAGCCATTCGTCCCACGGAGCAGCCAACTCATTCTTGAGATCGACAAAAGTCGGTTCCATGCATCGTTGACCTTGCATTTGAGGCCCTAAAATTCCATCAAAGCGAACTTGACAGCGAACGCCCCAGGATGTGCTTCTCAAAGAACCCGTGCAGGTAACATCCCCTACAGGTCAGTGAAAGTGACCTCATGTCCGAGTTGGTGATCTAACCACAGCATACAACTATAAATACTCCAGGAATCTCGACATGTTCCGGACCCGGTTTTACTATAGCATTTACATGGGTCACCTCGCACCCTGTATACACTGCTTCGCACGGACCGGACCTCAGCCATGCCCATGCCGGACATGGAGAGTCGTGACACGGCGGCGACTCGGATGGCGCTGAAGCGAGCTGGGGACTGGACCAGGTCCGCTTGGACTGGACTCAACGGTCCTACTGATATACCAGCACCTGGACTCGACACTCTACAGGTCGAAATAGAAATGGAGGCAGACAGAGGTTAGGCCAGACCAGAGGTCGAAATTTCAGGTGACCTGTTGGAAGGTGCTGGTAAATGCGTAGATATTGTGATTGTCATGGTGAGGGTTAGACAACCCAAGAGATTGTCATCAATGGTCAATAAGTCAAACGTTACTCCAATGACCATATGGACCATAATTCAAGGCAATAATTACTGACACCTGGACCTTTTTGATATTATTATCCTTAGGATTCAGTGGTAGTCAAACTTTAATCCGCACTGTGGAATTGCTGTTTGGGTATATACTGTTGTTCCCCCAAGACAACCCCAGCAAACAGAGCGACGATTAGCATTCGCCCCAGCCTTTGGCTCACGTGAGTGTGGGCAAAATAGTCTTGGTTGGTAGGGAATGAATGTCCACATTGAGTTCTGCTGGAGACCAGCCCACACTATCCTTGGACCCTCCCCAGCAGGGGTTTGGATCCAAAACTGGGTCCAGGTTCTGAGGGCGGGATACAATGGCCAGACAAACGTTACCCTTCCTGAAACTCAAAATCATTGCAATCCTTACCCCCTAGAATCCTACACTGGGAGACCTGGGACCCTGGGACCCTGGGCGGTCATTTTTCACACCGGTCAAGCCTTTTATTACGATAAATTTGAAATGGTGTGACAATTGACGGTCCCACACCTGCCACAACATTTGCAGCTGACTCAACAGTGTTTTATGAACACACTTAACAAGCATAAACGTGTGTTTACCTGAAGAGATTTGTTCCAACATGCTCCATCTAGGTCAATATGACATTCAATATGACTTATCATTCGCTAGTAAAACCACCCAAATGTGGATCAGATTCTTAAGCGTGTTTGGGGCTGGAAGGACTCCAGTGGCTGGCGCATCGCATATATGTTTCGAGGTCCTGCGCGGCGACCTTTCCAGGGTCAACGAATTTGTGTGTATTGTTTAAAGACAGGCCATTCGGCCAGACGTTGTTGCGAAATGGGTTCATTTTGCCCCCACCGGAGCCCAGTAAACTGAACACATGTCAAGACAAAACATGTCAAGACCAAACTAGCTCGCAACCTACGGCGTGGTATGGGGTTATAGAGTCAATGCTGGCGTTTGCAATATGTTTCTGGCCGGTATCCACATACCTTCGAAGTTGAAGGTGAACCGTTTACTCACCCACCTGAAAGATTTACAAAAGACCTTCTCAGCCTCCTTCTAGAGAGGACGTGAATCCTGAGGGCTGGTGTGGGCTGGTAAGTCGATTATTCCCTCAGGCTCCTGGCCTACCTTCATTCATTTCAATTCGGTGGGCCAGGTGTGACTGCCAGGAGGGTTGTCGTGTGTACCTTTCTTTTCGGATTTGGGACAGGATTCCTCCAACGAGATCCACTGGTCACTCTCGTTTCGATCTCAAAGTCGGAATCCACTGTAAGTGCCACCAACTGACTTACTGATCTTACTGACCTTTGATGTTATATTTTTTAGGATTGGTAGGAAAGATGCACCCCAACTTGTATCTCCAACGGAAACCCCACTTCTCATCCCTTCACTTCGCCCTACTTCGCCCTAAAACCGAGGACTGGCTGCAGCAGCGGGACGCAGAGCTCTTTGCCCCTTGGAGAGTCGCACGTCGTCCCGGCGCTTTCCGAGTTCGGTCCGTTACGCCACGCTGTCGCGTGGGCGCATGGAAGCTTTCGGTCAATTGCGACTGCCACCGGATTATGACGGGAGTTTGGGGAAGGTTTGTTTCGACCCTGCCGAAATAGAGGTAAAATGTAAGTGAGAAACTCTGGGAACACTTGTACTAGGGTCCCGAGTTGAGCTGGACCTTCATTTTCCCGGAATTGGAACATGCTAATCCCATGGTTTTGGGATGTTTTGGAACTGGGTACCCACACGCACCATCCCGCACCCACTGAATACTGTATTTGTCGGATAATAGACTAATGTGGGGCTTCGCTGGTTTGGCTGGATTATCCTACCACAGGAGTTTTGCATGAACTGAGGAATTTCGATAGTGGAACGAAGCCACTAAACCAGCGGAATATGACCAAAACACTTATTGAGTCATGATTGTATATAGTTGTTCGCTTTTGAATGTGTTTGTTGTCTTTTGTATGTGTGTGTTGTTTTTGGGCGGGGTGGGACTGGAACAATGTTGAGCGGTTTGGTGTTCTTCAAGGTTAGCAGTTTCAAAGCCATGTGGCAGAGCAAGTGCATTGGACGGAAGATTCGTTTCCAGACCCTCGCGCTGAGAATGAAGAAAGCCGACCTTCATGATGAATCAGAGATTGCCTGCGGATGAATGTCACCAGGACTGCTTGGCAAAAGCCAATCTGTGCTGGCTTCGTCCACCCTGTAGCTATGCAGGCCGCGACCGCTCATGGAAGACGGAATGTCGATCATTCAGATGAGAAGCTGCAAGACGTCGAGTTCTACGCAGAATGGACTTCGCACCTGCTATCAGCGATTGCAATCGTATCGAGGTTGGGAGGATGCTTTCATTCTACATGCCTGGAGCATTTTACATATAGATTATGCGCACGGGATCGCAAGGGCATTATCACAGGAGGTACCAAGGGAAACAGAGGCACATTGATGTTCAATGCCTACCTGCCATCGGACTCCTGCTCACAATGAACGTTTGTCGGAAACAAGTGCACTCAGAGCTGCTGAACATAGTTCTCCACGTGCCGATCCATGACGCTCGTCCGGAGCCAGGATTGGCACGGATGGGAGAACTTTGATTCATAAAACTGTCAGCTGGGACTATGTTGCAGCAGCATGGTACCACGACACTGGAGTGGACAAATGGTACCACATCATCACAGGAAGATTCTGTGCAACGCATCATCCTGGAAGTGCGTTGAGCGCCACGTCATTGCGAGCGCCGTCGTCATGCTGCTTGGCGTTTGTGGCATCGTCAGATCGGTTGGAGCTGAATGGCAGGACATGGTCACGATCGTGTGTGAGGATCGGTCTTGAGGATCGAGACATGCTCTTGTGCCCAGCGTGTTGATGTAAGACTCCAAGGATCTGAACAGGTATGCACTCAGTTTGCAGGTCGATTCATCAGCCATGGAACAAGGGCATCCATGGCTTTGAGGAAATCAAGGAGGACATGATCCGGACTTGCGTTGCCCAGGAATTTTCTTTCCCGGAGAGGTTTTGATCCTGCACCTCTGGAACGCAAAGACCCCACCCTGGGCCTCCATTGTTTCCCCATTCATGTGTGCACACTAAGGCGCACATGCAGGACTGGCTCAATCGCCTTCAGGCCAGTCCTGCATGGTCGCCGGTGGAACGCGAGTTCGGGGTTTCACCCGATTGGCTGAGGGCGACCACTCCATGATGATAATCACCTTCGTTTTTCGGGGGAGGGGACACAATCCTTTGCGTGCGGAGGGAAGCTTGTTATGCTTGGTTTGGTCGCATTTGACACACTATTTACAAGTCGACCTTGAGTCCATATTTTGTGGACGGAAGAGGTCTTCTGAAACACCTCTCCGAATTTCAACCTCTCAGCAGTTGAGGGAGTCTTCTGGGTCAGCTGACGGTGAGATTAATCTGCAAATTCTGAGGCAGGGCCAGGCGAACAGATTCCGGTTCCAGGTGGCTGCAGGGTTGAACACTCCAAATGGCCAGAGGATGTCTTTTTTGTCAAAGGACATCCTCCATGCAGGATGTTTTTTCCCCAAACAGAGTGACCACGATAGGGGTTCTTACGGTGAGAGTTAAGACCGCGTGTTTGATGGGATGTTTGTTTTCCATACCCACTAAAAACCATCCATACATGGAACTCCAGCAATGTTCTGTTCAATTGTTTGGATCGTTCGCTCGATCAATCGAGTGCCCACCGATGCTTGAGCTCTGCTGAAATCAATGCGATGAGTGTGTTTGTATGTGCAGGTGTTGCTGGACAATGCCGTGGACGGAGAGCACAAAGCGTGGTTTCCAAAAAAGGACACGAGTCCGGCGCCTGGATGTTTAATGGTGTTTGGGTTGCACAACATTTGGCATGTTGACTCAGTCCACTTACTTTGTGCCTTGAACCTCTGCAATTTTCTACAGCTCTGCAAAGTTTCCCGCTGTGTCAGGAACTTTCGGAAATGATGTGCCTGAGGCTGCCGGGTTTTCAGAACTCCTATTTACCCAGCAGGGACTTTGCATGATCATCATGCTTGTGTTTAACCCATGATCCCTGTTCATCCCATTAAGCTCTTGCCCAGCAGGTCCATACGTTTGGTGACGGCACTCAGCTCACGACCGCGACAGGACTCGCCATCGAACAAGACCAATGGTCAGGTGTGGTGATGTGAGTCCTGTTGGGTAACTGGACACAGAAAAAAGGACGACGGAAGCGGGAGAACACCAGGTTTGGGTCGGTGGCGGTGGCCTTGTGGACGTTCCCACCGTGAGACAGGTGCACTGCTGCGTGTGTCCATTGTTTTCCAGGGAAATGGCTCGAGACCCGAGAGTCAGCTGTTGGGCCATGCCTCCCCAAATCCTCCCGACTGGTGGCGTCATGTTTCGCACGCCCAAACATCATCATGTTCTTCACGATGTCCGGATTAACTAAAACAGTGATGACATCGGATTGGGCTTCACGTAGCGGGGGAACGGCTGGAGTTGAGTAGTTCTCTGACGTTCTTTGAGATAGAGCAAGATACTTTTGTGTGTGTGTTTTAAGGGCCTTTTACCCAGCTTTGATTCACAGGTTCCAACACACTGCCCTCATGTTGATCATCTGTGTTTAAGAGTCTAGCGTCTAGCCAGTGTGTTGGTTCCAGAACGTGTCAACGCAACCCACTGTTGTACGGTACACCATTTTGGGCTGGTGAACAGAAGAAAATCGAAATGGATTGGAGGTAGACTCAGCAAAGACAAAGGTATTTGTGTTTTCTCGTTAAACAGAGGCAGAGTCATCAGTTTAAGCAAGATTGGACAAGGTTTCCGAGGAAAGTCCTCTTTGAAGAAAACGCATACCTGAAGAATTGTAAGTGGCCCTGACATCCAACAGTTCGGACACAATTGGGGGCCAAAAACTCGGTGGTGTTGACATCGACCGAGATGTAGAGTGAAACTCCTATATTCCCAGTTGAAGGATCAATGATTGGCAATGGAAAGCCAACAATATGTTACCAAGCAGTTCAGCCTGACGACAAGAAGGAACTTGTTGTTTTGATAGAAAACACGAGAACACATTGAGCACTGTAGGGCCCCACAAATCCCTAGGGCTCAAACCATATCCTCAGAAGGTGGTTAGACCCCCCCAAACCCACCCCAACCACTTTCTCAGGAGGTAGTTGGAGCCCAGGGTAGGATCATGTTCTAAGGTGCTTGAAGTTGGGGGAATGCTTTGAGATGATGCAGATTGTTTCAACCAAGAATCAGGCCGCGTGGCCTGCAGATACCTCCACCGCCAAGCCAACGCAGTCGATCAACGACCTGGCGGTCGCCCGGTACAAAGAAACCGGATCCATCGACCAATTCTTGCAGGACCGGACGGTTTCAACGCGATCGGACGCAGGATGATGACGTTTCATACGACTTCATACCATCCAGCAGGTCACCAATAGGTTCACCTGTATTCGGGCCCTTCCCAAGCCTCGATTGAGGAGACCTGGCAGTGAGGATGGTAGAGGGAGTCTTTGATAGTCTTTGAGTACCTTTGGGACGTTATAGATTTATAATGGACCTTGGACCATGTCAACTCCGCATGGAACTGGCATCATGGCCAAGACTCGTGTTTTATCTTTTGCAGGACTTGGAGGGTTCAGAGTGCGGCTTCTGCGGTGTTCGGTGCGATTCGCAGTTCTCCGGCGCGGACGAGGAAGACGACGACGCACCGGAAACGATGACGAAGCACCTGGAACAGCTCGTTCTTTGCTCGGACACGTGTTTGTTCTGGCAGGTCTCCTTCTTTGGGGGGGTGAAAAATGCATGGATGTCTCCCCAGCCGACTTACCAAGAACAACCTGTTCGTCCGAGAAGGTCTCGAACCTGCGCAGGAGAGCGACCAAAAGCTCTTCGACCTCTTGGTGGCTCGGGATGCAGCCAGGGCGGCCTGATGGGTTGAAGCCCAGCGTTTTTCCGGGCCAGGGAGGATGTAGGACGTGGGTTGTCGCTAGTGGGACAGGGATGGACAGGGGCCTTAATGATGGAAATTGTAGCAACACTGGAAGCTCGTGCCGTGTTGCATGGCTACTTTGACCTTGAACAATAGAATTGCAATGCTTTATCTTTGACGGAGGCCTCATGAAGAAGGGTTCATGATGTCATTGATACACAAAATCATGTTTGACAAGCAACACCTAACAAGAGCTCTGTGTGTGTATATATGTCAAGTGTAACGTAGTTTCAACTGAACTATACATATTGTGTGTGTGTTTGTTTTGTTTAAATAGGATATGCCCCAGGTACTCAGCGCACCTAGGAACTACTTTGAAAGGACTTTTGGATCCACTTGGGTTGTTTTTTTCTCCTCCAGGGGCTGAGAAGAACGAGCAGCGAAGCCGAGATCTCGTGTCAAAGCTCCATGCTGAACCCATTTCACAATTCCCACACACTGGCATCATTTGGCTATATGATGCTATAGATGTATAAGGTATGTACAATGTTACAATCTTGGGGGTGGTTGAGCGACTTCGTGGTCCAAGCACTTCACAGGACAGTGAGGTCGTCCTTGAGCTTTGATTGGTCAATTATACGTCCGAAGTCCAGGCAGAACATGGGAGCAGAACAGCACCATCCAGGGTCTGAAGGACCTTCCAGCCAACCAAAAGGGCAGACTCACTCTGACGAACACATCACATGGTTACGTGGATATCTACAGGGACACGGGAAGACTACGAACTCCTCTACAAACAGGGTGTGAACTTCCATGTTAGTGAGTCAAAGTGTGATAGAAAAGTAGATCCCCACTCAAAATTTATGTCTATCTATTCGGGGACCACTATATATGTCGTTTGGCTCTCGTCATTGGCTTTCGTCATGGCCTCAGGAGGATTGGCTCTCACGCTTTCAGCTCTTCTTCTTGGACGGTCAGGCGGAGACGCCTCATCATGCCGAGGCGGAGAGTGCCTGCGGCTCCAAGCAACTGCGCAATAAGGCGAGTCGACCTGGCGAGTGACTGATCTCTTCTCGATGTGTTTGGACACAAAACCATCATCGGATGGTTTAGTGCGGATTACAAGCATCCCTTATTCTAGATCTTCTAGTGGATGTTCTCCCAGGTCTTGGCGCAGCTCGACCTACACATGAACAGAATTTCTGCGCACCTGCTGCTTCCAAGGGGTCACCCCTACACTATAGGTCTCCATTGACCTGTAACGGAAGCGCTAGGTATTGGAACAACAAGGGGGTGATGTTGGCCGTGAGCCGCACTCACACACTTCTCGGATGCGGGCCGGGGGTGATGTTTGGATCCGGGTCCCCATGGTATACTGAAGGAGGGACCTACAAACAGAAACTCTTGTACCACCACCACCACCACCACCACCACCACCATCCAAAGCATGGCTATTGGATGGTATACAGATGCGGGGGGGTCCATCCACCACAACTCCGCGGTGCGATCGAATCCGCAGGATGGGGACTTCCCCTCCGAAAGCGGACGCAAAGAGTTCCTTGGCACCCGAAAGCCGTGCCCGTCCGCCCGGTTCCGTCCCATCACGGTCCGTCCGCCCGGTTCGGTGATGTGTTGAACTGATCGACCGTCCCGAACTAGGCCTCCAGTGGTACCGAAGCTGAGGTTTGGTGGGACTGGGGGTGGGTTCGGAGATGTTCCGAGGGTCCAAAGACCTTCGGTATTTGGAGGTGTAGGGAGTGCCAGGGTCGGGTCCCGTACCGACATTCACATACGTTCTTTTAGATGGCTGTTTGGGCTGAACATACGGCCAGATCAAAGCTGTGTATATACATCCTGATGCTGATGAGGGGTTTGACAGTGGAACACCAATCACCATAGAAATGCCACAGAGGCGGAGGACGACGATTTCCGCCCCAGGGGCATTGCGCCCCCGCCCCAGGAGCAACTTGCAGTCCTTCCATGGTTTGAAAGCGCTTCACAACAGCAGCACTGGGAGCAGCATGAACCTGGTGAACATGTACAGCCTCGACGAGGAGCCGTCTCGCCCAGGCTGCAGTTGCGCTGCGCTTCCACAAAACCCGTGTTTTCTGATGTTTTCTACCCGGGTGGACCCTAGTAGTGATGGCCTCCACCGCGATGGCCTAGTAGCGACCCTAGTAGCGATGGCCTCCACCCTACTAGCGATGGCCGGACCACCTCTGAGAGCCCAAAGAACCGAGGTACGAACTCTCAGTTCGTTCGGGTCGGCCCCTTGTCTTTTGATGTTGCTTTGATTGGCTTGATGTGTTGGTGATCCTTTCCACAAACAACCAACCATGCAGCAAACAACCCACGCATCGCATCCGTGAACTTCCTCTGCCAGTCCGTATCGATGCGGCGCCGTGGTGGCCACCCCGGCAACAACTCCAACCATCCACCAAGTTCCCCTGGTAAGGCATCCAAGTTAGCACCTTGAATAATGGGACATGATCCTACAAAACATGTACAGCTGTACCATGCTGTACCCATGTGGGAGGAATGACGACCCCTGGCCGTGTTGTTTTGATCTTGTGTCCTTAAATGGTCAACTGTTAAACGTTAATCGTTGGATCTTGATTAGTAAAGGGCAATCCTTTCATACTACTACTACATAAAGGATTGATTAAGGAATTGATGGCTTTGGAAAGCTGTGAGTTTTGAAGAAGAACTTGAGAAACCTATACTTATCAAATTGTATCAATACTCTCAGCAAGCCAACCATTGGCTTAGTAGTAATTATTAATATATATATATATGTTCCATCGGAAATATACTTAACCCTAATTATTGTTTAGATAATAAAAGAGTAGGATCTCCTCCAAAAATATGATAATAGAGGACCCTTAAAACAAACAGGGTGTCACAGGGTGTCAAGATTTGTTCAATAAGTTAGCATTATAGAGGGCCCTATTACTAATCATCGTCCAACATTAATGTAATGTTGATGTTAAACTGCGAAGTTATTATATGGTGTTTTAAGATCACCTGTGGACATGTCATTTGTGGGCGTGCATGCTTCGTTTCTGGGCAGACGCCCGGACCTCCCGCAAACACCGGAGGATCCGGGAGAACTGGACCTGCACCGGTGGGACTCACTTCGGGCAGCCAGGGGTCGGACCTGAATCCGAACTGGTCAGGGGTCTGGGGTTCCTCACCAATCCCCTATGTTTTTGGAGGGACCAGGAAAGGGCGTGTTTCACGGAGCGTTTGGGTGTCAGATTTGGAGGCGAAAAGCCTCGACCTCACGAGGTTACATCATGCCTCCACAACCAACTGGATCTGCACTTGGTTCCAGTTGGGGCGGGGTTGAGATGTGTGGTGGCATGAGTCAGGTGTCCGGATCTTCCCTGATTTCCTGTTGGTCCTTCGATCGAACTTGAAGCAGACCTATGCAGACCTTTATGACAGGTTACACCTCTTTCATTCCAAAGCCAGATCACTTCTCTGAAGAAGCAGGATTAAATGCTGAAATCATATAGCACTTGTCATTGGACTAGTTTGGGAAAAGACCGGGGTCACCACGGTCACGCTCTTCCATGATGTCGTCGACGGAGCGCCGCGAGCGCTGCGGTCTTGCGCCGCGGAGGAGGAGACGAAGGAGGTGAGCTGCCGACAGATGTGCATGGACATGGACTGGCCCATGCGTTCAGGTGAGGAAACCTGGCTGGAAACCTTCGCGTGGTGAGCAAACCTTCGGATGCTCCCAGAAGGGCTCCCAGATTCGGACGCCCATTTCGACCCTCCAAACCGACCGAGTTTTCGACTTTCTGAACCGAAACAGAGGTATTTGGAGGTCCGGATGTGCTGTTTCTGGCAGGTGTTTCCGCTTGGGATAGCTTCGTGGATGGGGGAAAGAAACACATTGCAGAGTCCTATATACTATAGACATGATATTTGTGTGCCTGAACCTGAATCTACAGGTCGCAACCTGCACTTCGACCAAAAGCCGACTTGCAGACTTTCAGAGACTTAACTGGTGTATGGCTCCCACTTGCTGGATGCCCCCATTCAAAGATTGTCATTTTGCCTGATCCAACTGAAGGAAGCTCAACACGGTCCTGAGTCACTTCTTCTTAGGGTGTTTTCCATTACCAGTAACAATTGGCAATAGATGATCACTATATATGTTTGAGAAAGGCCTAACCTAACCATCGGGAACAAAATCCCAACTTCTTGCCCATTGATTTCACCCACACTTCTTAGGCACCTACGAGTGGGTTCGCTGGCTTTTTCGGCGCCAACGACGTTGTGTCTTTTTGGGTGGAAAAATTGGCTTTCCTTCTCAAACAAAAGCACAAGCAAACTGCGAAATGGATCAAACAGGTTATATAACATAATGTTGACATCTATGGCTACAGATGATGACGCTGCAGGCGATCCGGTTCCTCCCTTGCCATTCGCCTGGCAACGCTACCTGTACCCTTATGTCTTCTCATGGATGTGCCTTAGTAGCATATGCCGATGGCGATGGATATGCCTTGGTACATGGAAGATTAAGAACCAAACAGTTCTGCGCCCCTCTGACCCCATGTGTTCCTGTCCTGGCGAAAAGCCCATGAAATAGACTCGTATTTTTGAGTCAAGATCCTGACTCAAACCTAGCTTACTTGAGACAGTTGCCGTATGCCTGAGAACACAACGAGTCAGTGAAGTTTCCACTACACAGGTTTTGCGTTCATATCGAATGCTTCTTGAGGCATGTTTTCCATAGACACCCCCAATTTGGCCCTGGCCGGGAAGAACGTGCCAATGACTAGAGCCAATGGTTGAGCAAAGAATTGGCTGATTTTTCTGTAGAGCTTGGCCAAAGGTATTTTGGGGCCCAAAGGATGTATTCACCTTTCTGAATCTTGCGGCGTTGTGGATAGACCTCAGTGTCAGCGTACCAGGTTTGTTTGCGATAGGATGCAGGTACCAGACACGCCATGGGACTGTTTTTTTTGCTCAGTTGGCGTCCTTGAAATCGGGTCAATGTAGGTATATTCTACATCGAGTGCTTGGGGGTGATATAAACGCAGCCTTCAAACGTTCCTTGAGCAGCTGCAACTGAGATTGCCGTCCCAACTCGAAAGGCTCGAGTGTTTGACCAAACGAGGTAACGAGGTCTGAGTATTGCAGACTGTCTGCAGACGATTAATAACATGAAGAGGCTTTGTAATCCAGTTTTTTATATGGAGGCACCCAATACATGAATATGGGAGGCCTTCAAAAATGAAGAGGGGTTGAAATATACATCTCTACATCGACATCTTTATACCAGGGTCATCCTGTCTGGGTGTCCTTGCTAGACTACCCTACCTTACTTACAGGCCTCATAAAAAGGGGCACCCAGACAGGAAGTGCTAGGTACATGATATGTGTCCTTGAGGTTCGAAGCCTTCTTTGGATTTGTCATCATCAGCCCCATGGCGACGGAAGAGTACTCCCAGGGTTGCTTCTTTTTGGAGCGACGGAGCGAGTTTCTGGCGGGTCTGTTTGACGTAAATACTGGGAATCGCCACGTACTTAGGTTACTTGGTGGTTTACACCTAATGTACCTGATCAGGGAAGTGTGCCAGTAAACCAAGAACAGTCGCTAAAAGATGCTAATAGAGTATACGTATTTTTGAGCAATTTCTTTACTAACAATCATCCACGTTTACCGGGAATTGGATATACCCAACCATACCCAACCTATATTGAGCCTCACTCAGTTCGTACCCTGGAAGACGACTACAGTCGTAACCGTTGTTATAGGAGTCCACAGGTCCACAGGACCATGCATGTCCCATGTTCAAAGGGTAAATGAAGTCGGGTCCAGGTATAACTAACCTTCTGGCACACAGGCATTACCTATGGGGGAACATCAAGCATCCCAGGATTGCTGATATGGACCGCCAAGCGAAGCAAGGGAGGGAGGCTTTGGGGGAGTTTTTAAAGTGATCGTGATGTTGGAGGGTCCTGCTCTAGCCTCAAAGGGATGTCAAGGGGGATGCTTTCCCATTGTATAAGCATCACTACCTGTACTCCTGTACTCTCAAAGTACCTCGGAACATGGGTACCACCAGTACCAGCCTTTCTAGGATCATGTCCCATTTTCTAAGGTACGTTGGAGTCATGCAACTTGCAACACTTGTGATCACAACAGGGCAATACAATAGTGCAAATTCCAAATATGCAGGAATGTAACACTATGTGTTTCATATTCTGCCTACTCTCACAAGCACTTGGTCTTTATGCGGCTTGCTGAAGAAACAGAACTTAATTTAAGATCCTCAAAGCATCTATACCTGGAGTCGACCCGGAACTCGTACCTCGGACCATGGGGCCCCCGTTCGTTTACCCCCCTTTTGACCTGCACTGTGACTGACCCGCTGCACATCCGCACTGTGACCGACCCGCTGCACATCCACCCGAGGCAATTCCATTTTCTTGGGCATCCAAGTGGAACTCACGGCCAGTCACCCAGGTGCCTTCGCGACAAGCGACGGACGCACGGCGCGTTGATCATTTGCGCCGCGCGCAGATCGGGAGAAATCACATCGACTTGAGAGCTGCTCACCTGGTGCTTGAAGTTTTAGTGTATGTGATGATTAAATTGAAACACTTGGAAACACCAACTATAGTCCATCTAGTAGGAGCGGGGAACAACCAAATGTTGGGAACATGGGTTTTGACCGAGGACACACCGTACTTGTAGGCGAAAATCAGTCTCACAGCTGAGCTCGAGCTCATCGTAGTGGTCCTGAGTTCCAACAGCTACTTGTTGTTGTCGTTGCTGTTGCCGTTGCTGTTGTTGTTGTTTTTTTGTTTGTTTGTTTGTTTGGTTGGTTGGTTGGTTGGTTGGTTGGTTGCTTGGTTTGTTGCTTGCTTGGTTGCTTGGTTGCTTGGTTGCTTGGTTGCTTGGTTGGTTGGTTGGTTGGTTGGTTGCTGGCTTTCTTTGTTTGTTGGTTGGTTGGTTTCTTGGTTTGTTTGGTTGTTTTGTCGTTTGCTTGCTTGCTTGCTTGCTTGCTTGCTTGCTTGCTTGCTTGCTTG